GAGACCTTTATAAAATAATCTATCGGGCACTACCGGATTCAATATGTGCATTTGTCCATGGTTTTTTCCGGATACGGCCCGATAGAAAATTTATAGGAAATTATCTATAGGCACACCATAACTTTTACATTTTCCCTATTGAGACCGATAGGAAATAACTCAATGAAGGATGTATAGGGATATCCTTATAGAAAAACCATAAACATTTGACAAAATTTTATTAAACCTATGGGGTCCTATGGGGGAAAAACTAATTTCTACATTTATGTGTATTTTCCCCATTGAAACCAATAGCTAATAAATCAAGGGTGGATTTCCCTATAGAACAACCATAAATCCCAACTATGGGTTCTATACAAACCGATACACCCTATAGAAACACCATACATTTCGATATAAATCTATCGGTTTGAACAAGGTCTCTATGGGGTATTTTAAGAAGGGATTTTGTAATTATCACAATAAATAAAAAAACTGCAATACCTACACATTCTGCACTTTAATTTATATTTTCAAATAATTTTAATTATTATGTAAAGCTTTTTGGCCATTTTGGACACCTTGGTAATATTTACAAATTTTAATTTGCTCAAAAAATGCTAATATTTATTTTTTCATTAAGAAATAAAAATCCACACAAAACTCCTTTCCCTATCAAAAGCGATATTTAATACTTGAACAACCCTGAAGTGAATATTTAAATAAAACAAACTATTGTATCTATTCTTTTTTTAATACCTATAAAATAATCAATCATACAATATAATTTTAATACATGTTGTGATGTTTTTAATTTTTTACATAATAAGTATACATAGCCAAATAATGTTATTACTAGGGCTGGGCGATTATGGAAATTCATAATCGATTATTGATTATATAAAATAATCGATTATTTGATTACCCTATTGAAAATGCCATATAGAACCCATATTGAATCCGATAAGGAAACGTATCTGGTTCTATATGGTTTTATAGGTCCTATATGGAAAGTCCTGGTTAACATTACGGATTCTATATGGTTGAATATGGATTTCCATTTTAAAAATTTTCATATTCAACCATATAGGGAAACCTATCTGGAAATACATATAGAACAGAAACCAGATAAATCCATATACAACCATATACATGTCTTTATAAAGACATGTATATGGTTGTATATGGATTTATCTGGTTTCTGTTCTATATGTATTTCCAGATAGGTTTCCCTATCTGGTTCTATAGTGTTTTATAGTGTTTTTATCTGGTTCTATAATGTAATCTTCTATCTGGTTCAATAGTGAAATGCCTGTTTCAAATACCTATATTGAACCAGATAGAAACCATATAGAATCCAGATACGTGTTTTTTATATGGTTCTATATGGCATTTTCAATAGGGTATTGATTCTTCTTGGATTGGATATTTCCTCTGAGCTCATCACCAGGGTCCATGCATTTAAATATTTGGGATCATCATCACTCATTATGTATTGTGCTTCAATAGGACCTCCTAATTTTTCCTTGAGTGCATTAAAAAATACTTTCTGTATTTTTTTAACCATTCTGTTAGAAAGTAAAAATGCAACAGGAAAACCCATGTGGTTCTCATCTTTAATTAGCACAATGGTTAAATCCCAATTTCTACGATTAGTGCCATGTGTCCCATCAATGCAAATATTTTTTTTTAATTCCCTTAGTTTTCTTTTCATTATCCCATTCATATATCCCAAGGCAAAATCTTCATCCTTCAATCCTGGAAAATTCATTCCTAAAAATGATATTTTTGTGAGAAACCCCATAATGTATTTAATAATCCAATTTCCTACCTATTTAATTAAATAAAAATGCATCATTCCTTCCCTGTTGATTCCATTCCTCAACTTTCAAAGATACAGCAATCATATCATTAGCATGCCTTTTTTTATCAATTTTATATTTTCAGATTAAATATCACCCCTTGTAATTACATTAATCCTTTCCAAACTATGTTTACTAACCATTCTAGCATTTTGGATTATTCTTTGGCTTGTTACTCCTGCATTTAATTTTTCCACACAAAACATTTTGTTCACTTTTTGACAGTCGTTTAGTCCATAGGTCATCCTCATGTCCCACATGTGTCTCAAAAAAAGTTACTGTAACATATCCTAAAAAAACATAGATTTGAAACATATGTAAATGAATTTATTTTCTAAATATTACATATTGCTAAAATAGATTTAAATATTTACCACTGGTAGAAATTTTTGCAGTTATATTTCAGGGGCATATTCCATGAATCCTAATACTTCCTTTGGCTTTTAAACTACGTTGAGTAGCAGTACTACTAAATCCTAAACAAGAGATAATAAGTAATGTTAAATACTGCGAATAAAGCATACAACCTGCACAGTTACTTCTATTGCACTTGTAATACCAATGTTCTTCTCCATTTGGCCTTTTATTTTTCCTATGACAAGCATAATCAACTTCCCTTTTTTCTAGTGTTCTTCAGATTTCAAATTCTTTAATGTTATTAAAGTTCAAAGTAGAAACCTTAACAACAATGTCGTGAATATCTTTTAAATGCTTTACAAGCCTATGGCTTAAAAATGTTTCCCCTTCAGGGCATAGTGGGCATAAAATTCGAGGCGTTGTTTTATTCTCCACTGGCTTATTGTGGACTCGGTTTAGATGATCATTTTTGGAAGAGATACTGCAAAATTCCATCTCACAATGCTCACAAATTTTGGGATTTGTTTGCCTACAAAGTAAACATTTAATTTTTAATTTAACTTATTTGTGTAAACTTACTTATTTAAATCCATTTTAAAGAATATAAATATATATTGAATATGCACAAATTTATAGTCTATAAAGCACAGAAAAACTCAAAAATCGAATAGAGTAACAATAGTTACACCTTAACACTAAAAACACAACTATTAAGTGAAAAACACAGAAAAGCCACACTTGAAGCAAGCAAACGACGTGACAAAACAAATGTGAAAATTGCTGCCAAGATATTGAGGTTATGTTTGCAAATTACCCGCGGCCCAGCATGCACTACGGCAACACTGCATCGCTGCAGCCTTCTAATTGGTCGTCGATGGGTTACTTTTAATGTATCCTGGCAACATCGACCGCATTCCTTTCATATGCCATATGGTCAAATTAATAAGTTAAGCGATCATGCGCAGTAAGAGGAGCCGCCAGTGGCATTTAGCGTCTCGTAGTTTTGAAGTGATTTTTAGCAGCGTTGCCAACCCTACGGATTTTTCTGTAGATCTACGGATTTTAAGGGTCATTAACGGATAACCTAATTCATAATTACTTGATATTTTATGTATTAAAACCTACGACAAGTAAAAAATTGCTTGAAACAGCAGGTTACCAGAAAAGGTGCTTTCTGTCAAAAAGATGCTGTGAAAAAAATGGCAACTAAAGTTTTAAATTTGTTTTGGTATCTATTTACATTTAAAAGTTTTTTATACATGTATCACACTATTAGTATCTAATTACATTGTTTACAAATATATGTATTTTTGAAATGTGTAAATCTTAAAAGCGCCAAGCACTACTAAGAAAGCGCCACCTTGCGCGAAATGTCAATGCTAAATAACTGAATAGCTAATAAATATTGAGTACCAATCAAAATTTTTAGTGAACCCAGATAGCACCATTCGTCCATTGGACGTCCGTTTAAGATCCATTTTAAGTACATTGGTCCACGGACTAAAAATGGATGTACTATGTACGTCCATATATTTACATCCTTTGTACGATTTTAATGGACGTCCATAAAGTGTCCATTTTACGTCCATAATTATTATTACAGAAATGCAAGTTAAAACGTATTGTTGGCTGCATAACAACAGTTATGATCAATCTCACTGACATTCAAGCAAGCGCGTGCTATAAAGGACTTAAGCTATCAATGAAATGTTAAACACTTGTAGTATTGCAAATGTAATGTTACTGAGTCGAATACAAGGATTTCCTGCAATGTTCAACATTGAATGTTGTAACTTTTAACAACTTTTAGAATATTTATATTCCTAGTGGGATTGTTACTGAGCCAGACAAAAGGCATTTCAGTCATGTTTTAGAAAATTTTCTGCAACATCGCAATGAAAATACAGTCGCAAAAAACCGAGGGGTAAACCACTGATTTTTTAAAATTAAAAATCGCTTATGAATTAACGGCTAAGGATAACAATAACAAGGGTAGTCATGTACAACGCGTCGCTAAGCACTGATTAAGCACCGATTAAGCAAGTTTTCCTTATTGATAACGACTGATAAGGAAAAAAATCTTAACACAACGTCCACTAACATTGAACGTTTGTCTCTAAGATTTTTAAGTGGTTTACCCCTCGCAAAAAACAGTTAAAGTAAGCAAAAAAGCAGGTCCTGGATGCTGGAGGAATGGTTCAAACACCTTATAGACGTCCATCGGTGGACGACTTATGGATGTCCAAAGTTGTGACATCTGGACTCTAAACGGATGTCCATGGGACGTCCATAGAAAAAAAATGGACATCCTATGTACATACAGACGTCCACGAGCATACGTCCATTGGACGTCCATAGTATACCTTTGTGCTATCTGGGAAAATTCGTAAATCTATCCAAGTTTCTAAGTCGCCGCGGTGCCTGCCACCTCTGATCCCTGGTACGGATAAATGTCCGGATTTTACCCTTATATGAACCCACGGATTTCTACGGATATTTGACTAGAGAACTCAGGATTTTTCGAACGAAAAGGTTGGCAACGCTGATTTTTAGTGTGTGCAAACCAGAGATATGAGATGAGATATATCCATATCTCTGGTGCAAACGAGATAGAACAGACCTTGTTGTGTGGATTGTATACCCAGTTAAAAAAAATGTTATATTTTTTTAAGAAATCAGTATGTTAAATGTTAAATAATAATTTTAATCTAAAATTTTTAAATAAATATATATTATAATAATAAATAAAATTGCAACATCGCAATATAATATATTAAATATACAAGTTCTTTGTTGAATATATACACTTTGGCAACATTGTTTTTGAAACCGCGAAATAACCATCTTTTTGTGTTGTTTATTTTTATTAATTTCTATAATAAACAATTTAACAGCTATAAACTACAACAAACCATATTTTTATTCATTTATAATGTATAACAGAGATGATACAGCTAAAGAATTAAGTTATTTTCAAGAAACTCTAAAAGAAACAGGGGTTACAGTATCGTTTGATGAAGAATCCACATACTTAAATCAAGAACAGGCAATTGTAGTCAGGGACTTGGAAAATTTATTAAAATATCCTAATTCTAATCAGCAACAATTTGTTCGTGAATTAAAAATATTTTTTAAGGATGAAGAGTATCTACGCAAATCTTTTGTACCAACTATTTTAAAGAAGCCTGACAGCCAAGATACCTTGCAAAATCATCAAGAAAGCTTGATTAGGTAGGCAAAATAATACAAAAATTAATTTAAATTGTGTAGTAAAATCCAAATTGACAATTTTATGTTTTTACAATGTTAAAAACTTAAATATTTGAAAGGCAAACCTGTCGTAAGGGGAAGTCCATAAATCTCGTGATGCTTGTGGGGGAGGGAGGATTTCGTCCATAATGATTAGTCATTCCCAAGGGGAAAAGTGGTTTCTAAAACGTCAGGAGACAAAATAAATCTAATAAAATTGATTTATTGTACCATTTTTAGTTGTCAATTATTACATTAAAAAGGAAAAAATATTTTTAGGGGGTAAATGAGTTTGATAATTCATCACATGACCCTTGGGGGGGTCTTTACATTGTCAAATTAGGTGCTTTCCAATTGACCGTTTTGAGCAAGTAATAAAGCCCTAGGTTTTTTTGTTTGACTTCTTATTACTCTTGTTTTTGACACTCATTGTTGTATTGGGGCTGCATTTGGTGCTCAAAACGTTCAATTGGAAAGTACCTATTTTGTCACGAAGGAGGGGGATGGAGTCCATTTTGACCATTTTTAGTGTCACTAGATTTATGGACAACCCCTAAGCTAAATATTAAAATGTATAGAGAATATGTGAGGGTGCTATAAATGTTTGAGTTCACATTTGAGGAGGTGCATTCCAAAACTTGTCTTATCCATATTAGGTGATTTTGAGCAAAATGTCAAAAACCTTACATGTAACTCATATCAGGTCAACAGAATACTTTAAACAAAATATATTGGCATAAGTATAAAAGATTAAAAAGCTCCAATGGAAATAATTTAAAATTACATACGTATAAGCCAGTTCTGAAATGATATAACCTATAGATAAGGCAAGTTTTGGAACGATAGTCAATTTGTAAATGAATTTTAAATGGAATAAGCTTTATTCAATAAGGTGAGTTTTAGAATATTATCACCCTTTCAGGGTATAGGGGCTACATGTTAAATGTACAGACAACACTAACTCATTTTTATTAAAAAGTGGATAAGCTGAGTTTAGGAATGGACCTCCTAATTTTATAGAAAAGGATTTCTATTGAAAGCAATAAAGAATGAGAACAACATGCTCTGTTTTGTTAATTGTTTTCTATAAAAATCATAAGTAAAGCCGCAAATTTCAAGAAACTTAAGTGAATTCACTGTTTATGTCAACTCAAACTTAGCCCAGTCAAATCTTCGGAAAAAATCCTAGCTAAGATTTTTTTCGGAATCTTTACATGGACACTAATAATATCGAAAAAGTCCCAAGCAAAATGACGAAATTAAATTAAATTATTTAGCATCTAAGGTTAAAGGTCATAAAAACAGTTTTTCTCGATTATATCGAAAACTATTGGTTTTATGTGCATTTTTGCTATTATAAGATATGTTCCCTATGTAAATTAACATAAAAACCCAGTAAACATTTGTAATTGCGTATTGAAATCACTCCGAAATCCCGTCGTGACATTGTGATATCACTGGCGCATTCATATGTTTCCACAATACACAATCAATGAGATATCAAGTCGTGACATTTAAGCGCAATACGCACTCAATGGGATATCACTTCGTGACATTGCTAGCGCGCATGCGCGAGCGAAAGTGCAGGGGAATATTTAAAATATGTTGGACCTGTGATAAACGAAAAAAGCGTCGTCGCTATCGGTAATAGCGATGCAACGTCTTTTAAAACACGTTGCATCGCTGATAACGATAGCGTCGACCCTCTTATCGTTTATCACAGCTTCAACATACTTGCGGCCTTGGGTGAAATAACATTTTAATTATAAAATTATATATGGGGTAAATATTAACAGTCAGTTTATTTAAATATAATAATAATAAGACAAGTTTTGCACACTACCTTTATACAGGGTGCATCAAGTATCCTACAAGTATAATACCTACATGTATACAGGGTGTCGCAGATTTTAATTGGGAAAATTTAGTGATCGATTGAAATCGAAAATATCAGAAGAATTTGTAGTAATGGACAAAGGGCTTAATTTAATGTAAATTAAATTTAGTTAATCCAGAGGTGGCGCCTGAACATCCCAAATGGATGTTTAAAAATAAAATTGGGGTATATGCTATTGCTTTTTTGTAAGTTTATTATTATTTATAGATTAAAAATAGAACGGAAACGAATTAAATTTCTTTGAAAATTAAGCTTTAAAGCATACAAGTTCATATAAACTTTTCTTCTTAATTTTGCGAGTTCTGTTGACTATTTATTAAATTAAAATGTATAGAAATTATACTTGTATACTGCTTTTATGGGTATTTTTTTTATTTAGCAGCTTAAACAACTTGTTATGACGATAGTCACTTGAAATAATTCTGGTATCGTCATCCTAATCGTATGACGTGTCGTCAATTTATTTTAATTATTGAACTCAAAATTTATATTGCAGCGAGTTTATTACCAGAATTATATATAAAATGCAATTATTTCATTCAATTCTGAGAAAAAAAGACCAAAAAAAATTTCTAATCATGACGACTCGTCATTACGATATCGTGACGTGCCGTAAAGTATCGGATCATAAGTCTCGTCATTTTTTTTGTTATGCGTATCGTCATTGTTGGTAGGGTTAGCATGAAATTTATAAATTGAAAAAAAAAGGCAGCTGTTCTCAAAATTTTTGAAAAAAACTAAGAGACTTTTAAACCAAAAATCTTCATAGCTTTGTTATTCCTGAGAATTAAAAAAAAGTAAGTTTTACTTGTTAACATACACAGTTATCTACATTTTTATCCAATTTATTCGTTACTTACCATTACCATTACTTACCATCACCATCTTTTGTTTTTAAAATGGCCATGGCGATGGTGCACCATAACCTTATAGTCGTTTTTTCGCGTAAATACTATGTAATACTACGGTTAAATAAGTCATGACGTCACAGTTAATTCATATAACCATGGTTAGGTTTCTAACATTTGAATTTTTTTTACTTGTTCATAACCTATAATTTTTGAAATGTGTTTTTACCTATTTATATTTAATTTATATGCTTTTACAGGTGTAAATAAATTTCTTTGCCTCTTCTTATACCTTGTATATTCTTTTTCTATGAACCCTAGTTCTTATACCTACCTTTTCTATACCTCTTTTTATATATAAACAGTTCCTCCCTGTTGTTTACCATAACTAAAATCCAACAGTGTTTAACGTTTATACGAAAATTATTATTGTGAAACTCAAAATTTAGAATGGTACCCCAAAGAAAAAGACGAAGGTTGGCGGTATGTTTTGGAGAAGATATGTTTAGCACACAACATTATTCCTACATAAACATATTAAATATATATATTAAAAAGAGAAAGACTATTAACCACGTTGAATAACTAGCTCAGCGATATAGTTTTATGGTCTGGTATTTGTGACGTCATAGTTAAGATTTTTGAACGCACTCTAAACGCAAAAATGCCTTAACTATTAACCAAGGTTAAGTTTAATGACCATAGTATTTCATGGTATTTACGCGAAAAAACGACTTATGTAGTTTAATAAATCGATTTTTTTACTATCCAACTATGTAAAATTGTATTATATTTATTATGGCAGCCATAGCAAAACCAAAGATGATGGTGAAAACTCAAAATCAAGTGGACAAAAAAATTTATAAATTGGTAATGTAGATAAATGTGAATGTTTATAAATGTATACATGCCAAACTTACTTTTTTTTAATTCCCAGGAATAACAAAGTTGTAACAAATTTTGGTTTTTAATAGATTTTTTTTTCAATTATGTGAGAACCGCAGATTTATTTTCCAATTTTCAAATTCCATTTTAATAGACTTGTAATTACAAAACTTTTCTCCAGTTTAATGGCTTAACCAACCTGCACGTGCCGTGCCGTGCACCCTGTATATGTATACATAAATATATACGAGATATACGAGACCCGTCGCATATACAGTAAATTTAATGGTTTCAGTAAATCCAGGTTTTCTCCCAGTTTTTTGTTTTTGGACAAAGTATGATATTTCTTATAGTATAATTCTTATTGACATTTAAAAACCTACAAAAATATCTTTTCACTCTTGACAATATTGTTTTACACCTTAAATTTATTCCAGAACGAATGGAGTACTGTTTACCATTTATACCTTACTATAGCAAGATACATACATCTTATTACTATAGATATACGTAATTAACGTATTATGAATGAAATTAAAGTAATGTTATTTAAATGAAAGGTTTCGTTCCTGCGGGGTCACGTCGTGACATATAAAGATCACGCGCGTGTCACTTCTTGACATAAAACGACAAACTTAATCACTGTGCCAGCAATTGAATATCAAGTTATGACATGTCACTTCTTGACTTTTTCGTGATATCACAAATGTTTACTGGGAAGTTCCTCCACATAATCCACATTGTACCAGTGCATTTTTTAACTTGTAAAGTGGGCGACATAAATGTTGAGTACGGTCCTGTTTATTTCCCGACGTATTTCAATTTAACATAAAAAACACTGGTTAAACCTTGGAAATAATTATATTTTTATTATATTATTTTTATGGGTTAAACCCATATACTTACCTTACTTGTGGTAAGTATATGGTTAAACCATTTCATTCAATAGCTTTAATACGGTTTACAACAACTGTCGCCATAATTTTATTACCAGATGGCAGCAACAGTAAAAATTATCACAGGTACTTCCACAATCATTATGGAAGTATGTGAAAATTATTACTGGTTTTCTGGATAAAATCAATAAAATAAAGTTGCGTCCACTGTGGCTGCTAGTGAGATTATTAGTATTAATACTAATACCTAATCTAATTTCATTTGTTCTTTTTGTTGTAACCAAGGGGTTATGAATATTTCTTATATCAGATTCTGTGCTTGTATACTTAGTACAAACACAGATAAAATAAATATGAGTCAAGTAACGTCAAGTGGGACCAGAAAATCACGAAATCGCCGATTTTGAAAATAATCACATTATTGTGTAGTAGGCATGACTCATATGTTACACTAAA